CTGCTAGTCTTGCTACTTGCTAGGTTTTGTATCAGCATTTACCAATTGGCTGTGTAATTTAGGCTTTTTTTGTGGGGTTGTGCACTTTCAGTTCAGCATCGAGCTATCATCGACTTGTGCATACCCAAATTTGCATGATTTATACTTATATCATTCTTGTATTGGCATTACCTTGAATGCTAGTATGGGTCTGTCAACCTGACAACCTCTATGCCTCATAAAAATTTCCAAACAAAAAACCTCCTTCACTCAGAAAATACCTCTGTCATGGGAGTCTTGATTTATGTTTAGCCATATTTATTTAGATCCCTTAGAGGTTAACCCATTGAGTCACATTGCACCCTACTTTATTATTTTACTCTGTCTGATGCCAGACAATTTTACTCATCAAGTAGAGAGTGCTGGAGCTTAGGGGCCGATTACATGGAGCATTTTCAACCCCGGGGTTGAACTCAGCCCTGTTTACCGGGTTGAAATTTCAGCCCTGTCTGTAATACAAAACTCTATCAAAATCAAACGCGCGATTACATGCAAAATTTTCAACCCAGGGCTGAGTTCAATCCCGGGGTTGAAATTTCAACCCTGCTTCAGCTAGCAGGGTTGAAATTTCAACCCCGGTGTTGAACTCAGTCCTGGGTTGAAAATTTTGTCATGTAATCGTTTCAACCCAGGGCTGAAATTATCATGAGTTATTGGAACATACGTGGTAGTGACTATTTATTACAAGAAAACAAAATAAAGGCTTTTTTACTTCCGGGAATTGATGCCGAGAACGTATAGTATAGCGTTTCAACCCCGGGGTTGAAATCGTCCATGTAATCGCAAAAGATTTCAACCCGGTTAACAGGGCTGAGTTCAACTCCGGGGTTGAAAGTTCTCCATGTAATCGGCCCCTTAATGGGTTAATAACTAGCCTATGTGTATAGTTATGAGTCGCATTGCACCCTGATGCACCCTTTACTCTGTCTAACGCCAGATTATTTTACTCATCAATTGGGGAGAGCGATGGCGCTTAATGGGTTAATTCAGATTTATACAAGATTAGTGGTGCACCAGAGCTAACAGTTCCAATCCAGCCACAGCTGTAACTTGCAAAGTAGGGGTGGTGGTCTGAGCTAACTGGCCAGAACCTACAGTATGCACCCATTGCAATTAATTTTGAAATGTACATGAAACAGTTTCCATAGAATAAAACAAACCATAGAATAAAACAATCATAAACAAAGTAACTTTATTTCTCATTTCTATTACAGGCATCAAAGTGATAGGTAATTATACAAGAACTGAAGCAAAAATGTTCTTGCTGTAACAGATGTATTGTATCATGATAGTTAACATTGATCTATATGATCTTATTTGGGTGTAACAATGTGTAGTAATACAGTATCTGTAGTAGTAATCTGTTATCGCTACCAAAAGAAAATTGAAAAGAGATAAACATGCCAAACAGCCAAAGTGATGTCACAGCTCATGGGACTACAAAGTGATAATTATACTAGAATAACTTGATTATACAGTTAGTTCAAACTGATTGGGTCATTCAAAAAAATATCCACACCCCTAATGGAAGAGATGGGAGGTTGAGCTTCCTCCCACTTTTGGACACCCTTAGCTAATACTTTTACTATTATCAGCAGTTGAGTTCTGCCCACGTCAGACAGCACATCAGACATCTGTGGAGTTAGTGTTTATCTTTTCTGGAATGACTCATTGGTGATTGGTAGTTAATAATTATTCATTGAAGAATTTAAATTAAAATAATACAATTTCAACTGCATCATTGTGGTGGTAAATAATTCTGCAATAAACAAGAATAGATTATATAGGTTACTCTAAAAGAGAAAAAGCATGAAAAATCATATCAATGGAAAATGAGGAATACAAAAGAAATACACTAGGTTTTCAGACGATGCTCGAACTTTAATGTTGGCAAGTTGAGTGACCCCCTTAAAAATACATTGTTTTTTCAGAATTATATTTATCAAGAAACTATTAGAAGTTACAGAAACCATAATCCTATGTGTATGTACACCAAAAGCTAAAAAAATATGAACAAATATAAAGGCCCCAAGCTCTTCAGCTGAAACGTCGAGATTTATTTGTCTTAAGCCCAGACCTGGCCGTTTGAGCGCGCGCGCGCCTCCGCACGCGCCTTGACTCCTTGAGACGCGCCTTTTAACGCGCGCCTCGTTTGTTTTAAGAGTATGAAATCGCGCGTCTGGTTTTTTATTCAAAATGATTTTTTGCGGGAACAAATCCTCGCCATTTAGACTAGTTATAAAAGAATGACCGATTTAATGCTGATCAAAGGAATTGATAACTGCTAGTCGGCGAAGGAGTGTATGGAGATTCTTCAACGTGCATTAGAATTTTACATGGAGAAAAGACGCAAAGTCAAACTCGACAGCAACACTGTGGATGAAGAAACTCCGTTAAAAAAGCGTATAATTGAGAAAGACGCCATAACCATTGACGATAACGATGATTCGTCAAGCTTGTCGGAAATCGAGTCATAGGACAGCGATGTTGACATTTTCATTGATGTTTAAAGTACGATGACTTTGAAAACATCGTAAATACACGTACAGTACTACAAACATTTTATATAGTACCTATACTAATTTCGTCTAAACTCCAATTTTAAAATTGTTTTGTTCTACATAAATTTTTACTCAGTTTTGTGAATGTTATTCTAGTCTGTATAGCCAATAAGCGTAATTTTTACCGTTTTTGTAATCGCGCGCCTGACGTTAATATGGCGCGCGATATGCCGCGCGCCTGCCCAAATACTTACGGCCAGGCCTGCTTAAGCCGCGTTCACACTAGCGGCCCAGGCCTGGCCTGGACCTGGCCTGGGTCTAGGTGTGAACGGGTTTTACCTGGCCTGGCCTAAGTCAAGAAATCCAGGCCAGCAAATGTAGGTGGCCTGGACCTGGCCTTGGCCTCGATCATCACTGGTGTGAACAGGTTTTTCCTGGGCCTGGCCTGGGCCCCGTTACCATCGCAATATCTGCCCACGATAAAAACTGGTCAGATGATTGTCATACAATTGGAGGGAAAAACATTCAAAGCGCGAAATTAAATACTTTAATGGAACACAAGGACGTTTATATTGACGCCTGATTGCTTTGGCCTGGAGTTGGGCGTCAAGCCAGTGTGAATGCGTCACAATTGGCCCAGGTCAAGGCCAGGTCCAGGCCAGGCCTGGGCCGCTGGTGTGAACGCGGCTTTAGTCTTAGCTGGTTGCATCATCCTGCACTAACTAGAACCCCCACCCAAGAACTACAATCGGCATAGTGATTCAAAACTCCTTATTAACTAAAAGGTACTCCGACAGCAGAATGAGCTTCCTTGAGTACCTCTAGCTTTTGCATATAAAGTTAGTACAAAATATAAAATACTATAAATTCTCTTTGTTATTCCCTCAAAATATAGTGGTAAGTATGTACTAGCTGGTAGCACATACTGTACTTTCATATGTCATTATAAAATCAGTCCCCAGGGTCAAATTAAGATAATTTGATATTTGTAAAATGCACAGTTTCGTGCCACCTACAGAAAATTATAATTTTCAAAATAGTGTCATGAAATACAAACTGCACAGCAGGCTTATTCAAAACATCATAAAATATGCAACAAATAGAGCATGTAAACAAATAAACAATAGATCAAAATACCATTTTGCTCACGATTTAAATGAAACGAAAGTTGATTACTTTGTACAACAAGGCTTTAGAGACCTTTACATACTTGTGGCTAAAATATAATACATTGTACCACAGTTAAACCCAACAATTTTTGTAGAAAATTTGCTCGAGTGATCGACTCAGTGTGTGAAGTTATGAACTGAGAAATATTTTACCTGTAGTTGCGGCTTCAAATATCGTCTTTGCGGATGTATTTCGAGGTTTTCTGTCTTTTGAGGACGAGAATATAATGTGTACGACTTGCACACATTTGAACCAGTGGTCAAAGGTACAAAAAATATGAAAAAATCAAAAACTACGAGAATATACTGCAAATACTTCAACAAGCAAAAATATTTTAATAAGAACCAGGGGGGTGTGAAAGTCGTAGCAGGCTCAAAATTGAGCCTGGTCAGTGGTAATTACCATGAGCCGGAGGAACCATATGGCGTCATTCTGGCGTCAGCAAAGGCCGAAATCCGCCATGTTTTTGCGGACACTTTTTGATGCCGAGCACGTCCTCCAGTAATATAGTATAGCTCAGTGATCACAGCCCTTGACCCAGTCTTCTGACGTTAAGGCCGTTTTCCACTAGGCGAATTTGTTCGCGCGACGCGAAGCGAAAACCGAAATCCGGCAACGTGATTGGTCGGCGAAAAAATTCGCGGCGAAAAAGTAGGATCGCTTCCTACTTTTTATCTGTTCGCGCGAATAAATTCGCCTAGTGGAAAACGGCCTTTAAGGCCCGATTCCACGAGGCGGAATTTTTCGACCGAAACGAAATTTCTCTTTGTCTTTTTACAATTAGTTCTGCTCGAGAGCTCATGAAACAAATAGAAATTTCGATTCAGTCGAAAAATTTCGCCTAGTGGAAAACCGCCTTAATGTTGAATTTCGGTTGACCAGGTTGTTAGTGTGCTCCCACATAAAGAACCCCCTATTTGTGTGGCCAGTTTGACCACCTCACAGCGATCAACAATATTTTTTGGAAACGTATTTTTTCCAACCACCAAAATTAGCAATTTTCGTAGAATCAACCCCTACAAAAAAAGTGATGTACATGTTTCCCTCATATCAAGAAGGGCACCTTTGTCACCCTTCGGAAAGGGCAGGTGGCAGTCACTCCCTCTCTGGCATCCCTGGTGTTCGCTGTTCTTGATTTCAAGAAAGAATGGCTGTTGCCATCTGTAAGGACTTTTTTAGGTGGAACAATGTCATTCATGTTGACAAAATGTCTGCATGATACTGTATTGTAATAATCCTGATATTGTAAGTTTGGGATAGATTGTGCATGAATTGGACAATGGGGATAAGCTGATTATAGGTCTATTCATTTCGCCATGTGGACTAATTTGTGGACTAAATAATCATTTATAGGAAGTTGAAGTTCTGCAAGGAGTTCAGTCTTTGTTGAAGAGAACTCTGGAACAAACTGTTGAACAGATCAGGTATTGTCCTGAAAATTAATTGGACAGATTTCATATTCTCACTTCGGGGTTGCTGAGGCGGTTCTGTGTCATACTATACCCAAATTTAGGGCGTAAACATTATTAACAGTTGTATTTTTTTTTAATCTAGGCTGCTGAGGTCTGCAAAGTACTATCTTGAGAAAGACATGAGAGACAAGTTTTCTGCACTGTCAATTGATAAAAATTGTACTGAATTGCATAACAGATCTCCTGATATCTACTTCACAGATCAAAGTGCAAAAATTGAGGGAAAGTAAGTGATGTATTTGCTTAACACATTGAGTGGCAGCACTCTCTCCTTGACGAGTAAAATTGTCTTGCATTAGACAGATAATAAAGTAGGGTGCAATTGCTACCTAATTTAAAGGGTTAATTAACCTTCTAGTTGTCCTGCAATACTGATTTTCTATCTAGCCATTAAAGTAATTGCATTGCAGTTAGGCGATAATTGATTCCTTTAATACTAGAGACAGATCATTGTCTGTTGCCCTATCTAAAGGAATCCAAGACAAAGTCGGGTTCCTGATCCTGACTTGTGGGTTCCTGATCCTGACTTGTGGGCTCCAGATCCAGATTTGTAGATTCCGACTCGTGGATAATCTGTATTCCATCCTCATGAAAGCCATGTTAAAATGCCAGTATTATAAAACGTGCCTGCACAAATTCAAAATGTGCCTGCGGGCGATGCTTGTAGACTCGCATATTTTAGTGATGCATGATTAATATCCAATACTAATTAAAGAGTACAATCGTCTAGCATGTGCCCCAAGCAAAACAACAAATGAAATAGCAGGATGCATAGCACCATAATAAGTTAATTTTTATTGCATTAAACTTGAATTTTTTCATTCATAGCTCAGTCACACCAGGCGAATGGCAAGAATTTTCTGACAAGAATGTCTTGAAAGCTGAGAGGGAAAAGAACGCGGCGATCAACTTGCGAAGTGTTGCAGACGGTGTCCTCATGCAGACTTACAATGATTTGAAGAAACAATTTGATATTGTCAATCTCGCATTTGAAAACAGAATTGAGGAAATGGGAAAGGCAAAGACTAAACTGGAAACACATTTGATCAAGGTACCTGAAAATTTCCATGAATGTCTACAATTCTATGTAAGAGCAAAACAATTTTAGGGAAATTGAACTACACAGTGTTGAGCATCAAACTGGAAACACATTGAACATCAGCGCTCTGAGGATCAATTGACAAGTAAAATCGTTTGGCATATGTTGGACAGAGTAAAATAATAAAGTAGGGCACATTGGGGCAATGCAACTTAATGGGTTGACCTCACAAACTGACAACCTAGCTTGAATAGCGTGGAGTATACTGGGTCTAGCAATGGCCTTTTGATCTATATAATCTGTATTTCTTTTGCTTTAAGGTAAAGGAGGAAATTGGTGAAATGGAAGCAAACATTGACAAATTAAAGCAAGCCATCTATGAAAAACAAGCTCCAATGAAAGTGTCCCAAACCAGATCAGACCACAGAACACAACGTCCAAACATTGAGCTTTGCCGTGACCCTGTTCAATACCGTCTCATTAGCGAGGCGAATGAAATAAATGTCAATGTTACACGATTGCAAGAATTATTAGCTGATGCCGAGAGCTCACTGAAAGGCTTGATTCGTAATCAATTGTCGCTTGAGGAAGACATTGAAATAAAGAAGAAATCATTATATATTGACCACGATGTTTGTGTCGAACATCGTAAGCATATTCAATATGTTCGACGTTAGATGGACATTGATAATGAAACACTACAGTTTTATGAATGTAATTTGGAGGGAGAATGTTAATAATAAAACAGCTTATTGTACATTTTACACTTGTCATTGCATTGTTTTGTTTGGTTTTACAACCTGGGTGTAATACTACCAACTATATAAGGAAAAATTGTTTCTTAGCCATGGATGTTTCCTGAAAGGTAGGCAAACAGGAAACATTGTTTCTTAGCCAGGTACTGTTAGCAAACCAGAAAACATTGCTTCCTAGCCATGTTTCCCAATGGTGAACAAACCAGCAAATGTTGTTTCCCAGCCATGTTTCAATTGATTATCCATCTGAATATATGTCAGTAGCATTATTTTCATGAGTAATTGTCAGTGATAAATAATTGTTATAATTGTGTTCGGATACAAGCATACAGCCAATTGCAGTTGAGTTTGCAGCTTGCATTTTAAACGCGTTGTTATATCGTTGAAAAGTATGCGATCATTCCTTAGAAACACGCCGTTGCTAGGGGCGTAACGTGAACTTTTGGCGGGCATTGTTGAACTTCTTAACGGCGTGCAAACAAACATATAAGTCGTATAACGAGTTAAATATATTGTAAAAACGCTGCTTAAGCCTGCGACGGAACAGTAAGGTATTTTTAGAGTGCCTGCAGTCAAATTAGAACTCCTTGGTCGGTTTTGTGACAAAATCTAATTTAATGTGACAAAATCTAATTTAATTCGTCAATGCCAAGAATAGAAAAACATGTTTACGTCGTTACAACGCGCGCCAAAAGTTCACGTTACGCCCCTAGCAACGGCGTGTTTCCAAGGAATGAACGCATACTTTTCAACGATGCAACAACGCGTTTAAAATGCAAGCTGCAAGCTCAACTGCAATTGGCTGTATTGACGCCATTTTGGATTCTGCACACGTGTTTAAAAGAAAAATTCAAATTCCCGACCCCCTTCAAATTCCCCACCTTCCACTAGAAAAAAAGGTCAAATTCCCGCCTTCTTAAAATACTAAACAAGCAAATTCCCCAGGTATGCCCGGGGGGGGGGGATGTCAAGGTTTCGATTTGATTCGCGCATTATTGTCTCAAAGCATAAAGGCGGGAATTGGCTTTCCTGAGAATATAATCCACGTGTCTGTTCTAGGTAAGATCTTGCGAGATGATAACGCCTAATAACTTGTAACAACAAACTCTTTCAACCGGGGTTCCAGAAATATACAGGGTGTATCAAAAAAAGCGCAATCCTCGACTGAAATGTAAATTGCTAAACAAATAATAGACGAAAACGTTAAAGTTTACATTCATTTTAAAGCGTAGCCATTCAGCTTTCTAATAGTGGGTTGTTTCTTAAATTTGACTCATTGGTTCGCGGGTAATAATACTTTACGTTATTGCGATTGGAGATTAAAAAATTGAGATGGAATAACAAATCGTTCTCATGAAAATAACTGATTTTTTCATTAAAACAAAAAAATGTTGCATTTTATTAAATGGATTGTAACAATAAGTATAATTACGGCTTTTCTTCCACTATTTTTAACTCAGTTTGAAACTTCAAATGCGATATAATTTTGGCTTGGCCCATCTAAGCTGACTGACATCAACTTGCTATAATTTCTGTTTACATTACATCGCAATTCCATGACACTCTGGCTCAGACACCAGAATGTTTTGACGATTTTTAGCATTCGTTTAGGATTTTCAAACAACCTGGTCTCTTTTAAAATACTTTTAATTTGTTCTTACGTGGTTTTCCAGATGTAGTGACGACAACATTAAAGTTTAAAGAAGAAAATTCTAACATTTAAACCGACTAAACATTAACATAGTAAACTTGCATAATTAAACAGCAACTAAAAATGATAGGTTTTACTAAATCTTTTCCTGTGCAATTATTACTAGCATTGGAGACAAGGTTAATAGTTTGTTTGAAAGAGAAAAGAACAGGCTTTGAAGTAAGCCTAAAAGCGTTTAACTAGAAATAGTATTTCGAAAGTTATTAAGCACAAAAATGAATTGCGTTTATTTTGATACACCCTGCATATATGGAATCTATACACCGCAAGTCATGTTTAAGGAATGATGCAAACATTTCCTACATTTCTTTGGGTTTAACTTCATCCCATGTGAAACAGCAAAATCAGACATTTCATTGACAACGATGGGCAGTAAGCTTGGTGAGCACCGAGGGATGATTTCAAGTGCAGAAGTATCATCGACATACTTAATTCTGCCTTGCCGATCTTTTAAAAAAGAGTTAACCATGATTGCAAATAGTAAGGGTCCTAATTTGGTCTTTGTGGTAAACCTCCCGATTAGTTTTCTTCCAGATTTACAGTTTCCAACCCTAACACACTGTTCTCGGTCAGTTAAGAATGATTTTATCCAGCGTATATAAAATAATGGGACGGACGCCAAGCCTTTCAAACTCAGTAATAATGACATTGTGATCAACTAAATCAAATCCCTTTTTAAGGGTTTATATATATATATATATATATATATATATATATATATATATATATATATATATATATATATATATATATATATATATATATATACATAGGGAGGGACGAATTAAAAGACAAAGAGCAGGGACGAATTAAAGACAAGAAATCGTTGGTTTTCCGCTAAATATCCAGAGTAAATTTAGAAGACAAAAGCGTATGCATGGGTAATTAGGAAATACGGGATTCACATTCCCTCTCGGGCAGAACAATGAAAATCAAGGCGATCACGATATTAATTACCCCCTTAATTATTCTTTCTGAGGGCATCTCTCGTCTCAGTTATATCATTATTCTGCTACCCCAACAAGTGTAATTGCTAGATAAAGACAGACGACCTGGTGGTTGTCCCTAGAAAATTTTATATTTTTGATGCTCAATGGCCGCGTTTCTGGCATTTTCTGGGGTATCTGCAAGGGAAGCGACAATCAACCTCGTACCCAGGGCCAGTCGTGAGTTGAAGGCAGCGACATGGCCCTGGTAAACGCTGGTCACGTGTCAGGCAAATACTCCAAGATTCTTGGAGTATTAGCCTGCGAGCGGGCTTTATGGAAATAAAGACAGGGGGGCGAGGAAAAGTTCACGAATAGAACTTGAACTGCCGTGGATTATTTATATTCTTTTATTTTTTGTTGTAATCTTTCTTTTTAATGTGTTACGTTTATATATTACGTCAAATGTACGTCAATCTTCTTTTATATCGCTTCATATAAATCGCCGAGGAGGCGATGACGCGATGTTTCGGCTTTCGAAGGACAATTATGGAGACAATTGCAACCTCGTACGTACTATTTGTGATGATTTCCATCAAGTAAAAAGGTACAGTATGAATTTGAAAATGTCTAGAAGTATTTTATTGTTACAAATTATTTAGCAGATTATCCCATGAGTTAACACGTGCACGTGCACTCTTGCGAATATCGCAATGTTGGCAATGCGGTTGCCTTTAATTATTTGTTACACTGACCAGCTCTATGAAATATATATTTCGAAGGCTGTTATATTTTATACAGTATGTTATAGTTAGCTGAATTTGTAGTTTAAATATTGAGAAACACATGGCCAGACAATGGCCTATAATACTATACTCAGACTCTCAGTAAAGTCTACTTCTCACATGATTATTATTTACAATTGTTTGATTTATCACAGCAGTATTAAATTCAAATACTTTGTTTTTTTACATTTACATTTAATGACCTGAAATTATTTAAATAAGCCATTATATGAATAGCAGAGTGGCCAGGTTGACAAAGCTAAAATCTGATGAACCTCAAGGTCTTGAACTGCTAGGATATTTTAATAGTCAAACATCAGTTTCAGCATTATTTAATGTCAGTGAGTTAATGAGTATTTTTAATATCCATGACAACTGCAGCTGGTCAGGGATTTTTTAGGGAAAAGGTTTAGCACCCCATCGTAAAAACCTGCCCCCGAATCTCAAAATTTCATTATTTTGTTCCCTTGCCCCTACATATATTTTGTTCCCTTGCCCCCTATACAAAGGTATAAACCTTTTGTACCCTTGAGATCTTTTAAAAAATTTCCTAACTCTGCAGTGTGGCTTGTAACCTTGTTGCCATAATTATTTTCTGAAGGCTTCAATAAATTTCTACTCTAACACCTGACAGAGATGGGGGCCATATGCATGAACAAGAAGAAATGATTTCTTCATCTATCGACCCCTTACCTTTAACCAAATTTTTTAATAAATTAATTTATTGAATGATTTTGAAGTTTTCTAGATTATTGAAAAGAAATTTATGGGTACAAGATATGGGGCAGAAACAGTTAAATTAAGCAAGATATATGCAAGTAACAATGAACAAGACCAGATCACTGGATGGTATTTCAGCACACTGGTGGACATTCAACTTAATACCTGCAACCTGTGTCACATTTTTATAGTTTGTAGAGATTCAAAATGTACACTACATGGTTTATTCAATCACCTGCATGAATCATTTTCATGTTATGAATATTTAAATTATCTCACTTTATAGATAATTATATCAATTTTTAATATCATAAATGAATATAGTAGCTTTTGATTATACAAGTTATAATAATGTATCAGCAAATAATGACTGGTCTCTCTGAAATCCATACAGAAAGATTCAAATTTGACTTCCACTACCACTACTTGATCTGGCAGTTGCATCCAGTGTTTGATTGGGTAGATGAAACTTGTCTGGTTAGTTAATGATAGCAATAGCAGAATTGGCATCAAACCTGATCTCGATACCAGGCCACGAAGATTTGCTCTAGTCACTTCAATTCAGGGTTGCCCATGCACAGCTATTGTTGACTTTGTAAGCACAGCTAGCTCTTCAAGTTGGAGGTCCAGTTCTTAGGATTCTGCAAATTAATTCTAGAAAACTGGCTTTGGTTTGGGCTAAGCAAAAATCATCACACTGTTTACAATGCTGATTTGGTTGTTTAACAGTTAAAGTCCAGGCTGCATGTTTTTTTGTCCTGCATATGGCAGATGGGACAGTCCGGTTTCCAAGTGTTTATGTGGGGAATTAATATTAATCCTGGCTTCTGAGTGAAGGTCTTGCCATGCAGCTTTATGCAAGACCTTCGTGATGTGAGATTCCAATTGCTACACAGCATGATCCCAAGGCTCTTCCTCTGAAACAATGCTTGGTTGCGATATCATCCAGCAAGTGCAAAAATGCACTACCACGGTCAAGGATCATTTGGCATGTTCATCGACTATGTTAACCCATTGAGTGGCAGCATGCACTTTCCCCCTGACGAGTAAAATTGTCTGGCGTTAGACAGAGTAAACTAACAAAGTAGGGC